ATAAAAGAGGGAAACCATCTGAATGAGATGGACTGACAGGAGTGGCTGCAACAATGGGCTTCAACATAGCAGTGATTGTGTGAATGGTGCAATCTGTATGCTGAGCAAGTAATCCAAGAAACTGGATTACATGAAGAAGAAAATGGCATCAGGATTGGAGGAAAACTCATCAACATCTTGCGATACATAAATTATACAACTTGGCTTGATGAACGTGAAGAGGACTTAATATACTTACTGATGAAGATCAAAGACCACAGCCTTCAGTATGGATTGCACCTCAATGTAAAGAAAACCAAACTCCTCACCACTGGACCAATAAATAATTTCATGATAAATGGAGAAAAGATTTAAGTTTTACTTCATTGCTTGCATCCACCATCAAAACTCACAGAAGCAGCAATCAATAACTCAAATGAGGTATTGCATTAAGCAAATCTGCTGCACAAGACCTCTTTGAAGTGTTCAAGAGCAAAGATATCAGTTTGAGGATTAAGGTATACCTGACCCAAGTAATGGTATTTTCAATAGCCTCATATGCATGTGAAAGTTAGGCAGTAATAAGGAAGACCATAGGAAAACTGATGCATTTAAGTTACGACGTTAGCAAATATGAAAGGTACCATGGACTCTCAGAAGAACCAACACTGTTGGAAGAAGTACAGCCAAAATACTCTTTAGAAGCCAGGATGGCAAGGATGCCTCTCATACTTCAGGCATGTTACTCAGGAGAGACCAGTCCCCTGAGAAAAGCATCATGCTTGGTAAAGTGGAGCAGAAGCAAAAAAGAGAAAGACCACCCATGAGATGGACTGGCACAATGGTAGTAGCAATGGGTTCAAGCACGACAACTGTGAGGAGGGTACAGGATCAGGCAGTATTTTGTTCTGTTGTACACAGGGTCTCTATGAATCAGAGTCAACTCCATGGCACCTAACAATAGCAATGAACTTAACAAGCACATAAAAAGATGCTAACATCGTTAGTCATTTGTTTTGCACCATTGAGTCAGCTCTGATTTACAGTGACCCCGCATAGGATTTCTGAGGCTATATATCTTATGGGAACAGAAAGCCTCATCTTCTTCCTGTTGATGGATTTGAACTTCTGACCAATGTGTAATCACTATGCCACCAGGGATCCTCAGTTATTGGTGTTGTTAAGTGCAGTCAAGTCAGTTCTGACTCATAGCAACCCTGACTAGGGTTTCCAAGGAGAGTTTGTAGGTTTAAACCGCTGACTTTGCAGTTAACAGTCTAGTGCTTATCCTACAGGGCCTCGGGGAAATGCAAATCAAAACCACAATGAAACACTACTTCAAACTCAATGGGAAGGTTACCATTGAAAAGACAGACACTAACAAGTATTGACAAGGAGGCAGAGAAATTGGAACCTTCAAACATTGCTGTTTGATCAATGAAGTTGCTTCAAACAACGTAGTAGCTTTGGAAACAGTCTAGCAGTTTCTTAACAGATTAAATATAGATTTACCATTTTGTTGTTGTGAAGTGCTGTATGACCCAGCAATTCCACTCCTAGGTATGTTTACATAAAAAGAATTTAAAAAATTTAAAAAAATTTGTACATGTATGTTCATAGTAACATTACTCTTAATATCCAAAAAGCTCTAACAATTCAAATGTCCATCAACTGATGGTGATATTTCTATACAGTGAATGTTATTTAACAATAACAAGGTAGAAATACTGACGCTACAACACAGATGAATCCTGAAAGCATTATGCTAGTTAAAAAAAAAAAAAAAAGCCAATCACAATTATTTTATGATTCCATTTATATGAATTTTCAGAAAGGCAAATTTACAGAGACAGAAATTGCCTACAGCTGGGGTGGAGATGAGAGATAAGGAGTAACTGTTAATGGGTACAGGATTCTTTTGGGGGTCAAAATTGACTATGGTGATGGTTACAGAAATTTACAAATATACTAAAATACCATTGAATCTTATACTTTAATAGGTGAACTGTATGGGATATGAATTAGATCCCAATAAAGCTATTAAAAATTGTTAAAAAGTAAGGCACCTATTTTTCTGGGACAGGGATATAAGTCACATTCACATCCAATTTCCCTCTTGACTTCAGATGTAAGTTTACAAGATGGTCAGCCAAGGAAGGCAGTTTCTCTTCATACTAGTCAACTGCACACAGTTAACTAGTCCCAGTGACTAGCTCAGACACAGCACTAGAGTTCAGGAGAGAGCTTATTCAGACAGAGGTGGTTGTTCTTGTTAAGTACTGTCGAGTTGGTTCCAACCCATAGCAACCCTGTATAGGGTTTCGGAGGAGCAGCCAGTGAGCTTGAACCACTGACCTTGTGGATCAAACTGACTTTGCAGTCCAGTGCAAGGTAGTCCTATCCATTGATTTTACAGAAGAGAAAACAAAATTAACTTGTCACAGGCCATACATCTTAATACTGCAAAGCCAAGACCAGAAACCAGGTCTCTTGACAGATGAGCTCAACCTCTCCACATGAGCACCACCCCCACCTTTACCTTTCTGACTGCATCAAGGGAATCATCAGATAGTTAGACACCATAGTGGTCCTGCTCTCATCATACCCTGACCTCTGTAGAATCCCGGATCCACATACACTTCACTTACAAGCTCTCAGTTGAAGCAGAGCTACTGAATATTGGAGCTAGAAAAATACCTCAGGGACCATTCAACTCAACTCCCTGCTCCAGACAAAGAGCAAAGAGAAACTTAAGTGACTTGCTCAACATCTGAGAGCCATTTGGTAGCAGAGCTAGAACCCAGGCCTCCCAACTTTCAAGTCAATGTTCTTCCCTTTTCCAGAAGTTTTCAACTTATGTCTTCTCAATCTTATAATGAGCTACAAAGTGTGCAAGGGAAAAGACAGGTGCAGAGAACTTCTTGTTCAATCTCTGTATAAGATGGTTGTGGCAAAATTACTACAAACTACGCATTTCTCTGCCTCTCTTATTTAAATGAAATAATGGCAAGGTTATGGATAGCACCTACCCCTACCCCAAGTCCATGCTGAGAACCATACATGCCTAGCACTTAGGATGGGCTAAAACAAGTACCAAGGTGTCCAGTCATGCCAACCACCACCACTACCACCCTTTTTTTTTTTTTTTTTTAAACTAAGAGCACCTTTTAAAAATGTTTCTTCTCCATTTTCAGTTCACAGGGGTTGGAGTGAATCTCATCTATTTACCTGCCAGGCTCAGGAACCCAGGATGCCTGATCAGTCCATCCTTCTGGTCACAATAATTGGTTCAGAGATGGCCATGACTCAAGTCAGCCACTGAGTATTCTATCTGGGAGTTCTGCTCTGCCATTGGAAAAGGGGAGTTCTATTACTGCTGATACTAAGAACCTACCACTGTCCAGACCTGCCATAAGGAGACAGTTTACCTGAGAACGAAGCTAACACTGAAGAAATCTGAGCCAAGATGCAAGTCTGATGCCGCTATTCCACTGCTCAATTTCTTTTTGTCTTTTTGTCTTTTTGAGTTTGGTTTTCGTCATCTAAACTGAAAGTCTTCACTTTCATATTGGATGCCACTCAAATTCTGCCCAGAGGGGAGGTCCCTGGGGGATGGCCATCACCCCAACACCACCACTACCACCTCTCAGCCTCACAGAGGATCTCATACCTGAGGTAAGGATGCTCTACCAGCTTCTGCCTCGAAAATGTTTGGATTCTATGAATCTAGTAAAATCCACAGTGATCCTGAAAGGCTACTTCTAGGCTGATATACTGTTGCTATTGTTAAGTGCCATTGAGTTGAGTTCAACTCATACTAACCCTGCATAATGTTTCTGAGAAGCTGCTGGTGGTTTTGAACCACTGACCTTAAGCAGCCCAATGCTTATCCTAGAGAGAATCGCATCTGGACTGGTGGTACGCCATGGAGTCAGTTCCAACTCATAGTGAAACTATATTGGGTTTCCGAGGCTGTAAATCTTTACAGGAACAGAAAGCCTCATCTTTCTCTTGCTGAGCAGCTGGTAGATTTGAACTGCTGACCTTGAAGTTCGCAGCCCAACAGTTAACCACTAAGCTAGTGCAGCATTTAGCAAACAGGTAGCTCCGTTCCTGGAGGTTTACAACACCTGGCTGCACCTGGCCAAACCTGACCACACCCCTCCACAGGTTCTATGCTTTGTTCTGGTTCTATTCACCACACGCCTATATTGTGGCATGGCCAAGTCAGAGTCAGCCACGCATAAACATAACCCATGGTCAGTGTTTAGCAAGTGAGCCGGGTCATGATTGATAGCACGGTATTCATTCAGTTTGCAATGGATATGTATTTGAGGGGATAGGAGGGGAGTTGTGGCCTTTGTGAAGTATGATCACACTGTGTTAGCAGTTCTGAGAAGTGTCCCTGGGGCGAGTAAAAGGGATATAGTCTGAAATATGTGAGGCGCCAAAAGGGTTTCCTTCTCACCTCGCTGTGCCAGGGCGTGCCCAAGGCCCTTGGTGAGAGTTTCCTGATTATGCCTAAGTATTTCCTTATAAAGCCTGGAAAGCATCTGGGTGGGGAGGAGCCCGTGGCTGCCAACCTTTGTAGCAGCGACAGATCAACAAGGTGAACTGCAGGTGTCAGCACCATCAAACTGCTCACTTAAGCACTGGAGTCTCACTTGAGCACTGGAGTGAAGAGGGGTGGGGACTCGCCCACCTCCTGGGACCCCGGAACGGCCCGAAGAGGCCAACTTCCTGCAACAGTGTGGCCTTCCTGCGGGGTCGGGGGCAGCTGCTACGTGGACCGACCACAGGGGGATGCCCGCGACCCCGCCGGAAACTCACCGGAACTTGCCGGCTGCTCCGCTCCCTCCCCGGCAACCGATCGGGGGGCTCCCGCCAGCCGACACTGGCCCGACTTGGACCTGCCCACCGCTCCAGGGCGCTGACCCCTGCCCTCCGAGTGGCACCCAAGCGCCCAGGCCCAGAGGATCGCGCGCTGTCCGGACGCCAGCTCCCCAGCAGATCGTCCTCACCTTACTCGCGGTGGCTTTCTGGAGGCTGCCATTCGGCGGTGACGTGCCCCGGCTCACGTCAGGAGAACGCAGACCAGCTGATCACCCTGCAGAGGGATGGAGGGAGGGAGAGAGGCGGCGCGCGGGGAGGTGGGCCGGCGCGCACACAAGCCGGCCACGCCCCCCTCTGTGGCGCGCGCCGAGGCCACGCCCACCGCGGGAGCGGGCTGCGGTTGCCTGGTGCTCCTGCTAGGAGAGTGTTAACGCCCGCTTCGCCTCCCCCTGCGGACTTTGCCTCTCCCCCTACCGCAGATCTTTGCTCCAGGCAGCAGCTTTTCGAAAGAAGAGAAGGACCTCTGCTGGCTGAAGAGACTGAGGTACGACTGAGCTGTCCCAGGGACGTCCCGACCTTTAGGAGGAGTGGCGCGTGAAAGAATCTCGACTAGGGGTCGCGGGACTTTGGAACTTCTTGGGGCTCTAGAACTGTCGCCACAGTTATTTCTCCAGCCAACTTCAAAATCCAGCCCCCACTGCACTTGAATAACTAATAACTAAATTAGACTTAATGTTTAAAAACGGAACTAATGTTGTAGTGCAAGAAAGCAAAACAAAAACACAGTCCATCGTCTTGCCATCCTACTCAGTGGCAACTCCAGTCTTTCCGATGCTCAGACCCAAAATCTTGGAGTCCCCTGCCTTTCACACCCCACAGCCATCTGCCCGGAAATCTTGGTGGTTCTGCCTTCCAGACATCCATTAACCCGTCACTTCTCACTGTCTTCTAGCATTGGTCACTTCTGCCTCACCCAGGTAGTGAGCAATGACGGGCCTACCTGCTGTCACCTGGCATCTGCACAGTCTAGCCTAAACGCAGCCGCCTGAGGGGTCCTTTGAAGTCGTAGATCCTACCTTTTCTCTGCTCAGTATTTTACAATAGTTCCTCGGTTCACACAAGGTACTAGTTCTGCACCATCTGCTCCTAAACCTCTCTCCCTGTTGCCCTCACCTAGCTCATTCTGCCCTGGTTAACCTGACCCTCTTGCTTGTGGATTCTGACTCATAACAACCCTGTATAGTGTTTCCAAGGAGTGGTGGGTTTTTAACCTTGCCATTAGCAATCCAGTGCTTATCCTACAGCACCACACCAGTCCTTGAAAAAACTGGACACACTCCTGCCCCTGGACCTTTGCATGCTCTTCCCACCACCTAATAAGTTCTTCCCCCAGATCAGGTTCCCATTTTCACCTTAGCCTCACTTTGCTGTCAAGTTTTTGCTCAAGTGTGGCCTTCTCTAATGAGATCTACCTACCTGACCACCCTGCTTAAAACTATAACTCCCACCACCATTATTGGAGCGTGGTGGTGCCATAGGACATCCTGCAAGGTGGGCGATTCAAGTCCACCAGCTGCTCTATGGTTGAAAAACTAGGCTTTCTGATGCCACAAAGATTTTTAAAAATCAAATAACAAATTTTTAAAGCCTCGGAAACCCTATACAGCATCTCTATGAGTCATAACAGACAGAAAAACATGGCAACAACCACCTTCATACCTACTGCCCATTGCCCTGATGTTTTTGGGCTTTTTATCTATAACACTTAAAACCTTTTAATATGATTTTTTAAAAAAATGCCGCTATTAAGTGCCTTCTAGTCTTACTAATCGGGCTGCGAACCTTAAGGTCAGCAGTTCGAAACTACCAGCTGCCTGCGGGAGAAAGATGAGGCTTTCTGCTCCCATAAAGATTTACAGCCTCAGAAACCCTGTACAGGGTCGCTATGGGTCGGAGCTGACTCGACGGCACTTAACAACAACAACAAGTCTTTACAGGGTCACTATGGGTCAGAGTCGATTCGCAGCACTTAACAACAAGTCTGTTCCTGGAGTCCTGATGTGGCACTGTGGGATAATGCACTGGACCCCAAGCTCAGTTTGAATTGCAAGGTTGGTGGTTCAGACTTATCAGTTGCTCCTTGGAAACCCTATACAGGGTTGCTATGAGTCAGAACTGACTCAATGACACTTAACAACAGTCTGTTTCTATTCATAGGGGTCCTATATGGACTCCTGGTGTGGCGCTGTAGGACAAGCACTGGACCACTAACTGCCAGCTTTGTGTTTTAAACCCACCAGTTGCTCCTCAGAAACCCTACACAGGGTGGGTATGGGTTGGAACCTACTTGACAGTACCTAACAATAACAGGATTTCCAAGGAGCGACTGGTGGGTTTGAACCGCTGACCTTGCAGTTAGTAGTCCAGTGCTCACCTGTGCTTTATCCTGTTGCACACACGCACACAACAGTATGTGCAAGGATTGTGCTTGCAGTACTTGGCATGTAGTAAGTTTCCAGTATATATTTTCTGGATGCATATATACCTCCAGAATGTGCAATTCTCAAGGGCATATGACTCTCTTGTTCATTATTATGTTCCTGCTGCTTAGAATAATTTTTAAAGGTGAACGCCACTTCCTTCTTGCTCTGACCTTGGTGACGGCCTAATACGCTTGTATCAAATAGATTTTACTGCCTGTAAGAACTCCGAGCTCTCATTGTTAGTCAAATTAGAAAAATGAAATTAAGTCCTACAGAAAAAGTAAGGAAGAACTAAACCATGTGTCCTTGGCAAGCAGGAGATGTCTATTCTTGTTCCCAATTGTATGGAGTCAAAAGGAAAGCGATTGCAAAATGACTGGTTCTCATCCTCACCTGACAGAGGGTGGGAAAGAGGAAGCTGAAAAGGAGAAAAGTTGATAGCAGGGAGCCAAAGAGGTGGGAGCTGAAGGGAACAGATATGTTGCAATCACGTTGCCTAGGAGAAGGGGCGTTAGCTCAGAATTTACAGCATCTGGCTTTAAAAGAGAAAGAGAAATACTGTACTTTGTGTTCCCTGAGCCTAATTTCAATGCCTGTCTGCAGGATAGCAGAGCAACCCTCCCCTCTGAAGTTCTTTGTAGAGAACCTCAAGAGAAGCTGAGTGGAATTATTACCAGATGGTGAAAAGACCCAGACTGACAGGTTCTGCTCCTGGTTCTGACAGTCCTCACATCACTTACTGAGCTCTGTGTGCTCACCAATAACCCAGTGAGTGCAACATTGTTATCATCATCATTGCACTGATTGAGGTCATTGAGGCCTGCAGAGATTAAACCACTTGTACAAGGACAAAAACCAGTTGTTGAATCCAGTCTAACTCATGCTCCCGACCCACCCATATATGTCAGATTAGAACTATACTTCATGAGGTTTTCAATGGCTGAGTTTTTGGTAGGTGGTCACCAGGCCTGTCTTCCAAGGCACCTCTGGGTGGACTTGAACCCCCAACCTTTGGGTTAGGATTTACTACGGAAGTGACCCTAGAGGTCACTTCATCCAACCTCCTAGGCCATACTGAGGAGATAATGAAGTAACAAGTATCACCATTCTGACTCAGACTGAATGGACCTGAGATGTAGACAGACACAAAGTGCATGGGAGGAAAAAAAAAAAAACTAAACTAAATGCGAAGTACATAAACTATTGTTGTTATTAAGTGCCATCAAGTCAGTTCTGACCCATAGTGATCCCGTAAAGGGTTTCTGAGGAGAGGGTGGTGAATTTGAACCCCCGCCTTTGTGGTTCAAACTGACCTCGTGGTCCAGTGCATTATCCCACAGCACCACACCAGGACTCCATATAAACTATAGATCTATTATTTTGGCCCTCTGGTGTGGCGCTGTAGGATCAGTATTGGACTGAGAACCATAAGATCGGCAGTTCAAACCCACCAGCTGCTCCTTGAAAACCCTATACAAGGTTACTATAAGTCAGAACCAACTTGACTGCACTTAACAACAACAACATCCATTTGAGTCCTGATACGGCATTGTAGGATAGGCATTTACGTAGGACTGCTGACCATAAGGTTGGTGATTCAAATCTACCAGCCAGTCCTTGGAAACCCTATACAGGGTCACTATGAGTCAAAATCAATTCAAAGGCACTTAACAAGAACAACCACAACATCCATTTATACTCCTTCTGATAACCACCCTCCTATTTCCTTCTCAGGGGTCCTGGTGCTATGCTGTAGGATAAGCAGTGGACTGCTAACCAAAAGATCATCAGTTCAGACCCACCATGTGTTCCTCAGAAATCCTGTACAGGGTTGCATTGAGTTGGAAAAGACTCAATGCAACCCTGTATTTAACAACAACATTTCCCTCTGGGAACTCGCCCCTTCCTCTTCTCCATCTCAGTCTATGCTATTCTGGTGAATTACTTGGATGCCAGAGGTGTATCATGTGATCCAAGCAGAAGACACAGTGAAAGGCTCAGAATCCAAGTGCAATAGGCCTTTCACTCTGAGTGCTGGAACAGAGCCTGCTCTCCTGGTCAAAAGCTGACTTCAGATTCTCTGAACCGCTGCCTCCACACGCAGCTGCATGAGAAAGGCACCAAAGCAGCAGGAGGCAGAGCAGAGGGAGGAAGAGAAGCAGACCTGAATCCAGCCACACCTCAGGCCCAAGCTTTTGAAATGTTAGATTAAAAACACAAAACACAAAAACCCCTCCCTTTTGTATTTAAGTCAGTTTGCCTTGAATTTTCTGTTTCTTGCAACCAGAACACTCCTTACTGACTCAGTTATGTCCCATCTGTAAAATTAAATGTTCTGTGTGAAGTAGATAATATTTTCTTAATATAGACTATCATGAAATAATAAATAAAAATGGTAGAGTCCCAAATAAATGCTTTACAACCCTGCAACACCAGTGTTCTACGAGTAGCTCCATGGACAGATACACAGGCTGAATGGGTCTGGGAGGGAGCCTGGGAGGATACTCAAATATATATAAGGGTTTGATTGAGGATATCTGTACTTGGGTTCTTACCTTTACTGCAAACACATGCATGAGTGTGGTGGAGCATGTTGTTGCTAAGTGCCATCAAGTCCATTCTAAATTAGAGGGATCCTGTATAAGGTTTGTACCAAGTGGCTCGTGGGTTTGAACCGAGTGTAGTTAGCAATCCAGTACTTATCCTACAGCACCACACACCAGTATACAGGGGGCAAAAGGATGAAAACTTCTTAGACATTACCAAACACCTTGAGGCAATGAGTTGCCAGGTCTAGGGGCTCAGGATCATAGTCTTAGGGGACACTATGGTCAATTAATTGTCTT